TCTGGCGAAAATTTGAGACCAATTTCATTACACTCGTCTCCCCTGTCCGGAAGATCGTGCCCCCGGGGCCAGGAAAACCCCCCCCCCCCCCGTCGGGCAAACTCTAGCGCCATTCCTGTACACATGAACTCTCTTTCATATGTACATAGAGATTAAATTTTCACATTTAGGGTCGGCCTTTAGCCGATTGGATCAATTGCTCCAAATAGGGAAGAAAGAATGTACTCAAACTTATTCAAATTAAAATTAGGTATCGTTTTGATTTCGTAACAATATCCCTAGGAATTTTCGAATTTATGTTTTTAAATTCGATTGCAAACCAATGTTGTCAACATTTTCTCTTACATCTGGCTGACACTGTTTCAGAAGTCAACAGTCGTGGCCAACTTTCCCTACTGAAATATAAAAATAAAATTGTAATAAAAGGGTAAGAAGTATTGATTTGCTTACAAAGGATACCGCTTTTACATGGAGAGAAACAGGCGTTGCACTGACATTCACTCTCCAGCCCTAAATTAAGGTATCAGACTGGTTTAAAATCGTCGTTTTTGATGAAATTATCAAAAAAAAAAAAGTATGACTTAATTTTGTAGCCTGTTTAACCAGCTTTCTAAAACTGTCTCACTTTTTACTCTATGTGAATTACAAATGGAGTTACAGCTGTTTTATTACCGAACTGTAAGTGTTATTTTAAGTTGCATGAAAACTTTAAATGTGTTTTCTGAGAAATGATATTTTTGAGGAAAACTGTCGACCGTAACAATGATTTCTTAAAAAGTTATTCAAGTATTGATATGAAATTTTCTGAGATTGTTTTCTGTAATACGCTTGATGTTTTCCTCTAAAAACTAAGGTCAATTTTAAAATCAAGTATTATTTTTAAGTGTTTAAATATAAACGAAAAGCATTTTTTATGAAAAATTACCAGTTTAGTAACTATGTTCAGTTATATCTCAAAGCTATTTTAAAGTACAAGATATATTTTAGAGCATAACACAGATAACTGTCATAAAAATGTACTCCTGCAAGGATTTATGTATATTTAGAATATGATTTTTTCTATGGCTGTTAGCGTAAGGCAAATACTTTAGTCATTTTTCTTCAAATTTCTAAGTATTTTAAAAAAATATTATTTTGAAAGCCTAATTTTACAATATTTTCATAGTTTTAAAACATATGCAGTTGAAAAATAACATTAAAAAATATACATAAGTTATTTTTCAAAAAAATGTCTCCGAACACAGTCGGATACCTTAAATGCCCTCGTTCTGTAGAGAGGATTGGGTATTTTCGTTTCCTTTCTGTTAAACAGAGGCATGCAGCAAATTTACAAAACCGCGACAGCTTTTGATTGTCCCAAGATATTTGCAGTTTTTGAAGACAGCCAGCTGAAGCTCGTGAAGTGTTGAGACACACTAAAGTAGATTTGTGAAATAATTAAGAATATAATTATTCTCAGTCAACATAATTCTGTATTACGTTTTCTTTTAGATTATTTAGAGAGAAATCATAAATACTGCGTTTACTTAACATCTTTTAGAATTAAACATTATAAAAATTATTTTCAAAAATTTCTAACAATAAATAATATTAATTTATCAAAATTCACATTGTTTATTTATTTATTATGATTTATTTCTCAAAACTTAAACAAATCGGGGTTATCCAAAATTGTTTCCAATTGTGCCCCGCATATCCTAAGGCCGGCCCTGTTCACATTTATATTTCATGTGAACCACGCAAGCGGCCCGGGTTCGACTCCCGGCCAATGCAACCTTCCCCAGTTCCCATCCTTCACCTTCAGAAATGTTGATACCGTCAGATGTGTAAATTTGCGTTTGAAATCAGGCGCGAGATCCTATGCCAGTATAATGCAATTCCGTATTGCCAATACGCATATTCTCATACTAAAGAAACATCAGTTTCACCCAACCTAACGGGCGAAACTTGCTTTCTAATCTTTTCCTTCAACAGACGTTGTGCGGCCCATTAGCTCAGTTGGTTAGAGCGTCGTGCTAATAACGCGAAGGTCGTGGGTTCGATCCCCCCATGGGCCAATATATTTTGCTCCGGATGTGCAACGCTGCCGTTAAAATATCTCAACTTACATCTGCTAATCTTATAGGATTGAAAAAGATTTCCCAAGATATTTTAATTTGAGGTATTTTTTTCCCTTCAACTTGTATTTGAGATCCTTTTTAGAATTGGAAATTTTTCATTAAGATTTTTCAGTAATATTTTCTCGAGGCGAATGGGGCAAAATATGAGAAGAAGCGCTTATTTTAGGTAAGGGATTATTTCAGAAAGAATCGCATGATTGAAGGCATTTTTAAAAATATGCTCCATGTCTATAAGCATGTCCTAATTACAAAAGAGTATTTGGTGAATGGATGAATTTTTCAAAAAAGTGGTATTTCGCAGTTTGTTCTAACTGAAAAAGAGGGAGGGGAAGAGTCGGAAAAATATATCTCATCTGGAGGAAGCTACTAAATCAAGTTAAATCTTTTTATTAACGTGTAATTAATACACGCAAAATAATTCTAATAATAATATTTCAGTCTAAACAGACAGGGACAGGGGAAGGAGAGAGAGGAACTATCTTCCGATATTTGACCTTCTTACATCAGACTAAGGAATCGCCAAGTTTTTTATAAAGTGTGATGCCATGTTCTGGAAGATAAAAATTTATCTATTGCATTCATACAAACAGAAATTGAACTAAATTAGTAACCGCGACACTCAAAGTAATCTTATGACCATTTTTCAAGGAATCCTCTTACACAAATTAAGAAAAAAATATTGAATTAAACAAGCAGGCTCGAATTCATGATTCAGTCGCATTCTTCAGATAATATGAGATTATTTCAAAAATTTATATAAAAATTTTTGCCTTGTATCTCAAAACAGGAATGTTACGTGGAAAAAAATTGGCAGACACAAATCCCACCAGGTTTTGAACCTGGGACCTCTCTCGTGTTAGGCGGATGAGATAACCACTTCACCAAGGATACTCTCTCGCGGTCACAAAGAAAAGCTAAAGCCGAAGGCCATCGAAATTGATTACGATCTAAAAAGAAAGTGACCTGGAACTGATACACAAACGGAAGCGTGACTTACTTTTCTTGGGAAATATACTGTATACGCAAGATGCATTCCCCCCCCTTTCAGCCTTGTAGGTTTTGCTCTGAATTAACAACGAGATATTCGGTATACTTCGTCAGGGCGGTTCAAAAATGAGAAATAACTGCTGTTGGTCAGCTCGAAACAAATTCTTCTACTTCCAGGTCTCGGCCCCCTTCTGGTGTCATTCATGGTCTATTGTTGTTTCGCCAATGGTGCGGGAAGTTCACCGCTATAGCAGCCGATATATGCAAAAAGCAAAAACCCGCCCAACGTGGGGCTCGAACCCACGACCCCGAGATTAAGAGTCTCGTGCTCTACCGACTGAGCTAGCCGGGCGACAGGAGCTCTTCTACTTTAAACTTTGATGCGACGTTGTCGTCATACAGATGGAAGTTTAAATATGATGTTCTCTCAGATTATAGGTACACAACTTCATTTGGCAAATATCGACAATTGCAGCTTTCGTTACTTGTCAGTAATTATGATGTTCTGGAATGGGCTTCAGGTTGGCATTACTAAATGCACTGTGCGTTCCTCGATATCGTCATTGTATTCCGAAATTTGGATATTTATAATTCATTGCGGAATCGCGATGAAAGTATGCTTATTTGTTTTATTCATTCATTTTATTTTAATTTCCATATTTTTATTATAATTTTTTTACTAAAACAATTCGCGGACAGGGCCGTTTTAACATATTTGAGAGACCTGTGCCACAGTAGTTTGGCGCCCCTTCAGAATCTTAAGCAGAAATCTGAGCTCCTATATTCGTTAATATTGCGATCTATTGTGAGATTAAATAACTAAATTTGATGTACTTTTTATTATATTAGTTATCAGCATGCAAATACCCATCTTATCATTAATTATGTAGATAACTTCTATCACATGCATTGTTAAGCTTTTCCTCACTATCTCTGTTTGAGTATTTTTTGAACTGATATACATGTTTATATGACATAACAAAATTAAACTGTACCTATTGGATAAAACTTTTAATTTTACTTTAACTTTAACTTTTTTTACTTATTTAACTTTTTTATTTAAATTTAGGAATGATATAACATACTTAAATTCATTTCATTAACATTACAACATTTCTTATCTGTAGAATTTTTTAAAAAAATTTAATTTGTTTGTATGTCATTGCATCAACATTAAAAGAAACTTTCACTGTTGCAACTTAACTTTTTATTGAATTAATTGTAACAGTATGAGGCATGAGTAACAGTATGAGCATAGGCGGCTGGTGCACCAAAAAAGTGGGGGGTCAAAAGAGGTGTGGGTGTGTGGCGCCCCTAAAGCTTTTTTTTTTTTTTTTTTGTAAAATTGAGCTATATTATTGGATTTTAACATCATTATTGATTAAATTCTTCGACCTTCTCTAAAAAATTCGGAACACGGACTCAAAAATCGGAACTGATTACCACCGTAGACTCCCTCCTTCCAATTCAAAGTTCCATTTCAATTCTCATGAAATGATAACGTGAGAAAAATATAAAACACTTATCTATTAAGTCAGTTCTTCTTTCTTTAAACTCGTGAATCTATCAATGATGTCGTCACAAAACGGCGTACTCCCAAACACAGAGAAAGCAGGTCAGTTATAAATTTATTTATTTGATATTATACAATATACATCCGTATTATAAATTAGAAGAAAAATATCCTGCGATTTTTGTTTTTCGCAAATTGTTCTATTACCTTAGTAAAGTCAATATCTATAGTATTTTCGATCTTCAAAACATCAAGTGCAAAAATCCTCTCTTGACACATACTATTTCTAAGGTATGATTTTAAAGATCTTAAGCATGAAAAACTTCTCCCACATGATGCAGTTGAGACAGGTACCAAAAGAAGAATTTGGATTAGTTTTGTCAAGTATGGAAATATATCACAGAGTTCCTTCTCAACAAGAAAATTGCACCTTTTCCTCAGTTCTGTTATCTCCGTGAATATTTCTGGCAAAGAGTCGATGTATTTTTTATACATTTTCTGAAAAATTTGTATCTCGCCCTTTATTTTTTCCATATCAAGATCATATGCTTCAGAGACTTTTTGAATTGATGCATTTTTTATAACTCTTGCTAGCTCGTACTCCTCTTCTTCTCTCGGTATGTATAGTGGGTTCCCCTCCATCATTTTTCGATGGATCATAAATTTTGAACTTCGAAAAGTGGGGGGGGGGGGCAGGCCCCCTTTATTTTTGGAAGGGGGGGGGGGGTGGGCCCCCCGGCCCCCCCCCCCCGGACGAGCCGCCTATGAGTATGAGGCATGAGTAATAGTATGAGGCTGGCCATTCTGTTTAAGCCAGGGAAGTCCCGAATTCGACTCGGATTTGTTCCATTTTATATTAAATGTTCCAGATTTTAATTATAAGCAAATAGATCGTATTAAAAAAGACGAATTTTATAAAATTTCAAAAAAATTGCTAAAGTAGTTAATTTTAATCAAAAGTGAAATAAAAATGCTCCGTATCAACTTTTGCACCTCACATGGAGTGACCAGACCCACTGATTTCAGATTCTTTATCTCTTTTATAAATTAGTTTTTTTCATGGTATGAAAGGGACCCTTATTAGTTAAAAAAGTGTCCCTTATTTCGACTAAGTGTCCTGAATTGTGCTTTTTTGTACTTATTAAAATCGCTCATAACAAAAATTAATTTGATAAAACACTTTTTAAAAGCACGTTTTTATTATTGTACTAAAAAGTGAAAACTTTTTATTTTAATTATTTTTTTATTTTTTTGGTAGATATAACAATCTTTTTTTTAAATCCCAGAAGACCATTCTTCTAGATAGCCACCGCGAAGATGAGAAATGACGTGTGATTGTGTTTAAAATTCTAATTACATTAAAGTATTTCTATCAAGGCCTCACTCTTCGGTGATTTAGTTTCCACCTTTACATTTTTTATTGTTAAAAATTATTTTCTACTTTAAAATATGCTAATAAAATCTTACTTAAACAAATTTTTAATTTTTGCCGTTTTTCTTTGAAGGAAGATTTAAAAAATAATATTTATAAAATTTTTAAATGTCTGTAAATTTTTTTCTTCTTTATCAGAATAAAAGAGATAATTTGAAATTATTATGGAATATCTTATCAGTTTTTCCTCATACTTATTCTTTATCTTATATTATTCTTTATCTTATCAGTATTTCCTCATACTTAATTTCTTTTATTTACTTAAAATCTTATCAGAGTCATAAAAAAAATTTCTAACGCTGAAACAGATGTTTATACCTGTGTTAAAAACGATAGTGATAGGCATTGTTTGATAACAGATATCGATTCATAATTCATGGATCATCATTTTCTTTGCATTACTTCCTCGACATTCCTAATTTTTACTTTCTTTAATGAATTAAATTATTCAAAATATAAAAAAAATTGTAGTAATTTTGTTGGGACTTTGATTGAAAAGAAAAGGAAATATAGGAGAAGGGATTTTTTAAAAAAATTTTTTTCTCTTTACTCTCATTTGAATTTTATTGCTTCGCTGGAATCCAACCCGTGACCCATTTTTTTTAAAAGCATGAAAAATTTAAGAAAATTGCACCTCTTTGCGTTTTTTAGTTTTAGTGTTCACAGACAGAGAGACATTATTCCAAAATTGTATTTTTCAGACTCAGGGAGGTCTAAAACGTGGAGATTCGTCAAAATCTCGGGTTCGAATTTTTTGACGATTACAATACTTTCTCTTTGCATACTTCGTATACGAGGAAGTAAAAATAAAAACACTAATTCAATGAAGTCAGTCTGATAGTCAGACTATTTAGGTTTGATTTACACGATACTTTAAAAATTCACTTTTAATTACAGCCGCGATAATGTGCACACAAATAAATGTATTAAATACTTTCACTAGACAGAGTAGTAGCAACCCGTGTGTGAATAAATATATTGTCTAATAAATAAAAGAAAAATTAAGGTATAAGCTTTTATTCAAAATGTACTTTAAATGAGAAAAAATGAATGCAAAAGTTGAAAATAATTTTTCTGATTACAATAAAATGCATGGTTCGAACACAAGCGTGGGCGCCTTTACCTTTTAGGAATATTCCATTTCCTTAAGGAAATATACACAAAATATAAAGTGCTACATAAGGCGTCCACGTTTGTATTCGAAACATGCATTTTATTGTAATCAGAAAAATTATTTTCAACTTTTGCGTTCATTTTTTCGCATTTAAAGTGCATTTTGAATAAAAGCTTATACCTAATTTTTTTTTAAAATTTATTTCATTTTCTACTTTTTAGTGATGGCTGACACGAATACACACGACATGTTAGGCATAGTAAACTAAATTCAATTATTGAATTCTCCAATATAAAACACATATTAATAGCCGTCGCTCACGCTAGGTAGCCGTTTCAATACGTGCCATCTCTATATATATTTCTCTTACGCAGCGCGATTGCCATTACATTATCTCGAATTTGAAAAAAGTGCGACACAGACCGAGAGACGAAACAAGACTCAGTTCCCCGATCTGACCTTTGACCCTCAAGCCGCTCCGAAATGGGGATGATTCACAGGCCGCGCCCCCCTCTATTGTGTGTCGTCTAGTGGTGTTGTTACAACCCTACGCAACGTGAGGTTACCACCTTCCAAACTTTATCGCCGAAATATAGGGCTAAAGTTTTATTATCATTTTGTTAGGTTTAAAATAGGTATAGCTTGCAAATTTTTTTTTGCATAATATTGCATTGTCTCCGGAAATCCACCACTGTGCTAAATTTCAAAGCTGTAGCTCGATTGGAAGTGGGTAAGAAATCGATCTCAAGATTTGTGGACAAGACACAAAAGTTGAATAAAAGCATATGAAAATGAGTGTATTTACAGTGGAAATGCGCTGGCAAACGAATAGTGTGTAATTCG